CCACACGTGATTTTATGCAGATGTAAAAATCTGAAAGGTTATGATAAACGTGAATTAAACGGAGATGCTAACATTAAATTGTTGGATGCTCTATTTTTTTTAATCATTTCATCCCAAGTAACAAAGCCGATAAGAAGCAATGGGTCACTGAGTATAAAAGAAAACCAAAAAAAAAAAAGAAAACTACTATTAAGAAGAGAACAATAAAAAGAACAAAATTAAGAAGATTTTTCATAACAATCGACATTGAATTTAAATTTTAAAAAAGCAAAGCACTAAAGCCACTAAGACATAAAAGCCAATTTACTTAAAATGTTAGAGAATATGAGAAAAAAACTACTATTAAGGAGAGAGAAAAAAAAGAACAAGAATTAAGAAGACAGAAGATAACAATTGACACTGCATTTAAATTTTTTTTTTTCAAGCAAAAGCACTTTTTAATTTTTAAGACGTTAAAAGGGTTACTTTTGTTAGACGATATGAGAAAAACTACTTTTAAGAAAAGAGAATAATAAAAGAACAAGAATTAAGAAGACAAAAGATAACGAATGAAATTGCATTTAAATTCTCCCCAAGCAAGGCACTAAAGCCTCTAAGACGCAAAGTGGGGTTACTGAGTGCTAGAGAATATGAGAAAAACTACTATTAAGGAAAGAGAATAATAAAAGATCAATAATTATGAAGACAGAAGATGACAATTGACATTGCATTTAAAGTTTTTAAGTTTAAAATTGACTAGAAAGCGGTAGAAGAAATCAGAAGAAAATTCCATAAGCGAGAAGTGCGAGAGAAGGAACTGTCAGCATAGAACTTACGGTTACATCTTAACCGTAAAATGACGTGACCTAACAGCCAATCTAGTAGGGTTCTTAAATTCGTAAAGTCAAAGTACCAGGGGAAAACCCACCAGTAAAATTACTATGAAAATATTTATAAAAAAGACACAGGGAAGCTACGTTAAAAAGATGGGAAAGAGACTGAAAACGAGATGCCAGGTCAGGACCAATAACATAGCAGATTTTTCTTTAGATTTTGTCGAGAATCTCTAAATACATAGCAGAATCAGATGTGACAATAATATTCACTGCACAAACATTGCTGTCACATGCGGCCTGGTGCTTTTTGAACGCCTACCTGACAGAGTTACCTTGGCATTGTATTCTCATGCGTTCTCATGATGACATGGCGAAAGAAAATGTATAGTTATATGGGATTAATTAACCTTGTCTTCCAATGGACCTAACGCAGCAAGATGGCGTTCCATTCAGGACGAGTGACGGAAGGTAGAGTAACCCGCTCTTTGTCTTTTTGCCCCGAGATGTTGTAATGAAAACGATACTTCACCTTTAGGATCACCGGGAATGCCGACTGCTTAATTTACCGCAACCACGTATATAAAAAAATAATTTCATTCTTAATCAATGTGGAAGCACTGCAATGCTCGTAAAAGTTTTTAAGGTTTACATATAGTAGGATGCAAGGTCTTCTGAAAACTTTGGAGCGATGGCAGTCCTTGCGCTTTATAGCCATAATCAACAGATAATCAAACATTTCGGGCTTTTTTTCAGACAAGTTAATATACTTGAAATATCTAAATTAGTGTTGAATAGTAAAATCAGGCATGGTTTTATTTAAGTTATGTGATTAATCTCAGTATCTTTGCGAGTTAATTTAAAAGAATACCTCAAAATTGCTAGAATCACATGGTGGTTGGCTATTTTGTTTTCAGTGCCAACAGAGTATATCTGTTGTTTATACAGCAACTATACTTAACGGATCTTAGTTACAGATTCTGGGAGATAAAACATAATCTGGCGGAAACAACAGTCTGGACAAGGCCAGCAAAACGTCCGAACCCTTTAGTCAAGATTAAATAATTGAATTCGTGCTAAACAACTATCGCTCTGTCTATCCAGTTTAAAGAATAACTTTCTTGGGTCTATTAATATTTTAAAATATATTAATAGGCATTGTTTATCCAGGTGGATAGCATCAAGATGATAAGTTTGAAATATTTATAAATCGCCCATGTTGAAATTCAAACCCAATAATAATAATAATAATTTATAATAATAATAATAATAACAACAACAACAACAATAGATATTTATCCGCGTCATAGTTTAATGTAGGATTTTCGAAAACGCTGTAAATTTACTGAAATTATTATAAATTTTCCATTTTTAACTAAAATCGAGAAAGTTCCCAAAATTTGCACTTCTGGGGGATAATAAACATACTCAGAGATTAAGCTGATATTAATTTCAACTATAATTTCTATTATTCTTCTATTAATTTCAACTTATTTAAGTATAGAAAACTGAATGAATTACTTCAGAATCAGATGTTACAGAACTTGGTGATGATACTGGGGAAGGTGCTGGAGATTTGCTGTGATTTCCTATCCCAAAATCACATACCAGACATCTGATATTTTTAATATAATTTCAAACATTTGGCCGCAAAATATTAAAAGCTGTTCTATTCAGACGGTCATGGAAAAAAAAACTCAACAAAAACAACTTCGTACGATGATATGAATATATTTCTGATGCTGCATTCGCCAACCTGATATTTATTCAGTGAGTTTTACAGCCATTACGTAAACTCCAGATCCTTCTCGCACAAATCCTCATTTTGATCAGCCTTCTATTGTCACACAATGAGTGTTGCTGTTTTAAATGGCGGATGGCGGTCAGTTGACTACGAGGAAATACAAAATGGTAGCTGTTTCATTTGGAATCCAGCGGGTATAGCAGTGCCAGTGGCTACTCCCCCCTGGCGACTGAATTAACATTCAGCGGCAGGCGCCAACTAATCTGGGATAATGGAGAATGGAGAACGCTAATAATTGAAGTTATTAAAACGCTGGTTAGTCGGGTAAAGGTCAGAACATAGAGAGGGGATTTGATTTTTAAATGGGTGATTCGGGGAATATGAAAACGAGGTGAGGGTGGTTAGTTGAGGAAAAGGAAAAAAAACAGCAGAGATAAAGATAAAAGAGTAATGGTGAATAGTACAAAATGTTTTTCTTGTATTGTTTCGGAATAAATTCCTATCATTTTTTAAATGTCTATATTCATATCTATTTATTTATATATATATATATCTCATTCTGTTCCTATCTATCTATCTATCTATCTATTTATCTATCTATCTATCTATCTATCTATCTATCTATCACAGTCTGTTCAATATCTATCTATCTATCTATCTATCACAGATTGTCCTTATCTATCTATCTATCTATCTATCTATCTATCCTTTTTTAATATTTATATTCATATCTATTTGTCTATCTATGTATCTGTTTGAGTCTATTACTATTTATGTTCATATCTATCTATTTATGTATATATCTATGTCAGTCTGTTCCTATCTATCTATCTATCTATCTATTTCAGTCTATATATATCTATATATCATATTTTTTAATATTTATATTCATATCTATCTATCTATCTATCTCAGTCTATTCATATCTATCTATCTATCATTTTAAAAATATCTATATTCATATCTATCTATCTACCTAACTTATATGAAATTGATTTAATTCAAAAATATTCTAATATATTTTCTGTTTATACGTTATTTTATGGATACAACTTATTTGAGTAAATGCTGTTTTTTTTTAATTAAATAGTATTATTTACATTTATCGGCCTGAATGCCCGACGAGAATCGAACCTGTATCCCATAAGGCAAACCGTCATTTGGCCTGATGTGCTGTTAACCATTCAACTTCAGAGAACATCCGGTTATCAACGCTCAAATTACTGCTTATAAGTTATCTATCTATCTATCTATCTATCTATCTATCTATCTATCTATCTCAGGTCTATAGATATCTATCTGTCTGTCTATTTATCTCAGTCTATTGATATCTATCTGTCTGCCTGTCTCTGTATCTATTTATATATGTTCATATCTGTCTATATATATATATATATATAATCCTCTTTATTTTCTCTTTCTCTTTCCTCTTTCCTCTCTCTTTCTCTCTTTCTCTCTCTCTCTCGCTCTCTCTCTCTTTCTCTCTCTCTCTCTATATATATATATACACATACACACAAATGTGTTGCCATTTACCTATTTATCTTAAACTGTCGAACAGTTGTATACGAAGACTTTTTAGAAGTTCCCAGAAAACTAATAAGTTCCCAGAATAATAATAATAATAATAATAATAATAATAATAATAATAATAATAATAATAATAATAATAATAAAAGCCATCTGCTGAAAAGGTATAATTTAAAATCAATAAATAAATAAAAAAAGACGGAAATCTTCCCGAGGGAAAAACAATAGAGCAACGCCCCTTTTTAGAGGAAAAGTAAAAAAAAAAAAAGTTTAAGAAAATGCGCAGAAATCCCTTTTCCTGTGACTGACTTCGAAGTGGCCTGGAAGAACTGGAGAGAAATTACGCGTGAAGCTGTTTTCTGAGTGTAAAAAAAAAAAAACCCTGAGGGGTCCCAAGTCAGTCCCTTCGAAGGAGATCACGTCTGTTCGTCTCTTTTTGGCTCAATTGAAATGCATTTTCCTCTTCGTCTTCACCCCACGAGCATAATCGAGCGCTAAATGACAGGAATCGCTCATCAGAGACGATAACCATACAGCCTGTATGAGTTGCGTGTTAAGAGAGAGAGAGAGAGAGAGAGAGAGAGAGGAGGAGGAGCATCAGCCAGGAGCCTGGAGGAAAGTGTTCAGTAAAAACTTGAAGATTGAGAAAGTTGGGAGCCGGAAACATTTAGTTACCACAAGAAATTTGATTTTTTTTTTTTTAAATCTAAGTGTTGGTCGTGCGTGGGCGTGAGAGAGAATATCTACGTATACATCTTAAATCTCACCCTGATACTATTTTTCTCTGTTCATACCTGTTTATTTCTTTATCTATCTATCTATCTATCTATCTATCTATCTATCTATCTATTTTATTGCGTGTATATCTATCTATCTATCTATCTATCTATCTATCTATCTATCTATCTATCTAACTAGCTATCTTGCTTTCAGTCTGTTCATATCGATCTATTTTATTCCGTGTATATCTATCTATCTATCTATCTATCTATCTAGCAAGCTAGCTATCTTGCTTTCAGTCTGTTCATGTCTTTTTATCTATCTATCTATCTATTTATCTATCTATCTATCTATCTATCTATCTTGCTTTCAGTCTGTTCATATCTATCTATCTATCTATCTATTTTAATCTTTTCATATCTATCTATCTATCTATCTATCTATCTATCTATCTATCTATCTATCTATCTATGTTATTATCTATATTGCTTTCAGTCTGTTCATATCTATCTATCTATCTATCTATCTAGCTAGCTAGCTAGCTAGCTAGCTAGCTCAGGTCTATAGATATCTATCAGTATGTTATCTGTGCAGCTCTCTACATGAGAGGTGCTGAAAATTTCCTGGTCCATTCAAAAAAGAAATGACCTGCAGCTCTGGAACATACGCTATTCCACTCATTCAGCACGTAGTTCAACACGCTTGGAACGTGATTTTTAAGTTTCTGTAGAGAAAAAACAAAAAAAAAAAAAAACAATGCCAAGACACGGACCAGAATCTAGAACACTACAGAAAGAAATAAAGAACAAAATCAGAAATACTAAAGAGGAATGGCTTTGATAATGGTAATGAAAAATGTGCGTAAATAGAAGAAAGTGTATCATATATAAAGCAGATATGCTTAAAAAGAATAAGAACTAGCAGATATGGCCATCAACTGGCTACAAAAAAGAAATCTAAGACAGGAATGCTGATATTAAAGAAAGAAAAAATACTTCAGTCATAGAACGAATATATTGGAGAACTCTTCCAGAATGAAAGAGAACAACCGGTAAAACGAAGAAATATAGACTGACCGAAAATACTAAAACCGAAGTGGACGCTGCACTGGCCCAATTGAACAGAAACAAAGCGACAGGGCCTGACGGAATTGTAATAGAGATGCTGACAGCTTTGGATTATTTTGGCATTGACAAGATAATAGAAAGAATAAATGAAATAAAAAAAAACAGTGGTGATATATTAGAAGACCTAAAGAGATCTATTTTCATAGCATTGCCTAAGAAAACAAGTACAAACGAATGGGGGCTCGATCGGGCAATCAGCTTAATGAACCATATAAGAAAACTCATCATCCGAGTTCTGACAATCAGAGCACGTAGCAGAATCAGACCGCGGATAGGATATGAAATGTGCGGGTTCGACGATGATTCTGGAATAAAGATCTTTTGGAGGTGAACAGGAAATCTCACATATTTTAAAAAGATATTAGAATAATCAAGAACCTATGCTGTAAGCAAACCGCCTGCATCGGGATTGAAAATAATTAAAGGGGGGGGATGTCTAAAACAAGGATGTATCTTCTCATCATACTTGTTCAAGCTATACAGAGATGTCATTCTGAGAGAATTAGATGTCCTACAAGAATTCATTTTTGGCAGCAACAATCTTAACAGCCTAAGATATGCTGATAACGCAGTGTTAATAATAGACACAGAAGAAAACAACAAAAGCTCCAACAGAAGGAAAGAGAGAAGAAAGGACTAAATATAAACTGCAAGATGGCAGAATGCATGGTTGTTAGCAAAAAAGGTGAGACTAAAATGCAAATTACAAATCGGAGATACCAAACTCAAACAAGTACAAAAATTTAAATCTCTGGGAAATGTTCGAACAGAGGACGGAAAGTGTGACACTGAAATTCGAAGATGCGTTAGGATATCCAAAGATGCCTTCCAAAAGCTAAGCAGTGTATTAAACGGCAGACAAAAATTCAATAGAAACAAAGAAAAGTTACGTCATATCTATCCTCATATATGGAATAATGAGGGTGAAACTAGAAGCAAAAGAAATGTGGTTCTACAGAAGGATGCTGAGGATAACATGGTTCGAGCATGTGAGCAACGAGGAGGTTTTAGAGAAAATGGACACAGAAAAGAAACTTATACTTAACATCAGGAAGAGACAATTGACATTTCTGGGACACATAATGACGAAGAAGGGCTTAGAAAATCTGATACTCACCGGCGAGATTGAGACTAAAATGGACAGAGGAAAACAGCTAATAACCTACTTAGTAATCTTGAGTAAATAAATGCTGGAACAGGAGAAATAACGCAAATTGTTAAGAGGTAGAAATTGCGGAGAGCCATGATCGCCTACGTCCTGAGGAAAATACGGCGCATAAAGTAGAAGATGATTTTAAAATAATCTTCTAAAAGGGCGTTCCGATAACTGATTTTAAATCTGAATTTAAGCGTCTAATGTTTTTTTTTTCTCTCTCAGATTAAACAACTTAAGTCTTTGACAATTTCAACCATGGAAGGAATAACAATCAAACGGCGTGTTAAAGTTATCGAAGCCTATTACGAAAAATGGACGTTCAAATTTAAAATATGATTCCGCTAGCAAAAAATGCACACCAGACAATAATTATTATTATTATTTACTCTGATTTCTGAGTATAAATATTTTCTTACGAGTCCCAACCGGAGACCTAAGATCAGAAATGGGTTCATGACATTTTTCCACTGATCATTTTTAATATAAGTGCACACACATTTTACATTGATAAAATCTTTCATGATGTGTAAACTGTACTTGTGAGATTTTTTGATGCAAAGCCTACAGGGGACCTCTTCCTTGAGTGCATCGGAACCTTTTCCAGTCAAACCGAGGGTTCAGGCTACAAATGAAATTAATGACGTCTTCATCTGTCACCCTTTTGAGATTTCATTTTAAGATAATTGTATTTTGATAGTTTTCTTTGAGGAATTTCAAAATTACATCACAATCTGCAAGCACTGCCAAGTCAATAAAAAAACACATTCAGTTTTTCTGGTCTTTGATTACGATGTCTTGGCGATTGTCTTTCATTGTTCTGTGTGTGTGTGTATTGTAAAATCCCACAAAATTGCTACAGGTCTTATATTTGTAACCGGGTCTGGGTAGGGTTCGTTCCAATTTCAGTTCAGTACAATTTTTAATATCAGTCGCACTCTTTTATAGTTCTATTTTTGCAACTTCTTTTACACAGATGTACTTATAAGCGTCTTCCTGCTCTAAATCTTTGATTAGTAATCCAGTGTCTAAGCTAATAGATGAAGTTTGTTGTAGTAATCCTCGTAAAATTGTGGCTTTATCCAAATCGAATTCAATTCCAATATTATAACTGAAACATTTTACTGTTTTCAGGAGACCTTCCAGTACAATGTCATTTCTGGCACACAACTTTAAATCATCTTATAGCCATATTCTGCCCTGTTAAATTTTCTGGTTAATACTATTAGGAATATGCAAACAGTTAGGCAGACAAAGATTCACCTTGAGACATTCCTCTACTAATCCTTATTTCACCAAACTTTTAGATTCCATTTATATGATTGAGGTGTAGTGTTGTTTTCCATATCGACATACTTTGTTTGATGAAAGTGATGTGTGATAGCTTGTATATATTTAATGACTTTAAGAGCCTAGAATGGTGTACAATATCGAATGCCTTCCGGTGATCTATCCAGGCAATACTGAAATTTTTCTTTGTATTGAAGCAGTTTTCCAAATCATCCTTTTAATAATTTGTCTTTACATCCGTAAGAGCCACGTTTGCACCCGTTTTATTCAAGAGATAGTATGTTATTTTTTTCTAAGAAGAAATATGTCTGTTTTGTCAGAATAGACATCAATATTTTGTAAGTAGTGGGAAGACATGTAATTGGTCTGTAGTTTTTTGGGACTTTTGCGTCACCATTCTTGGGGAGAAGGAAGGTAATTCCTTTGGTTACTCATGTCGGAATTTTAGCAGAATCATTAACCATTTCTTAAAGTTCTTTGACTAGTTCTTTGTGTGCTGTATTTAGATAATATAGCCAAACTTTTTAATTTTATATATTCCTGGAGATTCTCAGTTGTGGGCTTTTATGAGTGTACATTCAACATCTTCTGTGATTCCTGCCCGTGTTTGTTCTGGTTTATTTTTCTTCCGTTCTACTTCTTTCGAAATCTAATCTGCCTCTTTATTACGTTCTTTAGGGAAAGACCATATTTTTTCCAAGAACTATATAACCGCTTCCACTGTTGGGGACTGGGTTGTTATTTCAATTTTTTGAATTGCCTATTTCTGTCAAATCTCTTCGCATCAGTTTGAAAGATCTGTCTGTAGAATTTTGATCTTTTTTTATAGCATCTGATTCTTCGAGCCTTCACTTGTATTTTTGGCTTTTTCTGTTGTGGATTCCGGGATGAAATCCAGTACCAATAAATAACAAACGCCAAGAAGGAATATAGGAAAATAAATGTATTAATGTAATAATACAAACTGGTAATGCAGGTTAGTAGTTCCATGAATGCGGGTTAGTAGCAAAATATATAAATACAGTCTTTGGTATCGACGTATCACTGTATGACTTCTTACTGAATCTACGTGCATGCTCACTGTGACTCTTGCTCGCTACGTTCGTTCTGGTTCGGGTTCTTTCGTTCTTCTCTCGTGTATTCACGTAGCAGTAGTATATGTATACCCTAGGTGAGTCCATTTGTGTAATAAGGGGAGAACCCCCCAAAAGTTTCTTTATCTCATAGGCCTTTATTCCTAATTTTGCATTTTCTTTTGACTGTTCTAGCTTTTCTAGTTCTTACAGTTGATCCTCCTGACACTTCATTCAATACAGATAATTGACTTTTAAGTTGTACAATTTCTTTCTATATTTTTCTTTCCGAAGGTAGTGCTTCAGGACAGTGAGACTGCATTTTTTAATTGATGTTTAATTTTTTTTATGTTGCTGCTATTGCTGATGCATATATTGCTTCGTTGAGGCTTATATGTGAGTCTATTACCGGCAGAATTAATTTCAGTTCTGCATTGTAGAGTTTAATAGTTTGGTTGGTTGTAAGTTCTCGTTCCTCCATTTCAATATTTTGTGTTTGACTAACAGTGGAGGCAAACAAATATTCGTACACATACAAATTTTTAATTCAT